TACTCGATGGGAAGGCAACAAGTTCATGACTCTGACAAATTACTAATGGTCTTCTAGGTTAGAGGATGCTGAGGGCTTAAGGTACCAATGCACTTTTTCCTATTAGGAAAAAAAGAGTTTTCCCATGCTAATAGGGGAAAAACGCAGAACTTAAAAATAGACTAAAAAAGGAAGGTCGTAGATATGAAGACCAAAATTGTGTCGCCTTCTATTTGGTCGTACTCTCCTTTAGCTTTATAGTGTTGGTTCGACCTTATTTTCGCAACTTGGTCGTTGCGTCGGACAGACCTTGTGGAATTTACCAAGTCCCCTGTCCTCTGCCATACTATTCGTGCTTACCAGCAATGGTTCTACAAAGTCTCCCTCACGCTCCGACCAAGTTGCGAAAACAAGGTCGAATCAACACGAAAAAAAGTAGGGTTTGAGTTTGTTTAAAACGACTTTAAAAGTGGCAAAATATTTCAAGAAAACGGAGAACCAAATATGCTCAATCACCAAGGCAATGAAGATGAGACTAGACGTTGACATATTAGGAAATAGAAGATAGGAATTGACCACTTCAGATCATTATAGGATTTGTAAAAGTAGTTAATAGTCATAATAATACGCCACTTGAGACACACTTCTCACACATGCTTACCAAGTCGGAGAAGCCTCGAGAACTGCCAAAACTATGTCCTTGTCCAGGATGCCTCGAATTAGGCCCACTCGACACAGACTTGTTGCAATTGACTTCAGCGCCTTTTGAAGCCGTCTTGCCTGTACTACCCGTCTCCATGGCAGCTGAAAGTGTATGCGCTGGACCCTGGCAACCAGGCGACATCAGGGCCGGTGTGGTGTCAACTATCTGTTCCGGAGGTGGCCAATTTGGGTGTTGATGAGTGGAGGCCAGTGACAAACTGGTAGCCAAATGAGCAGTGTGATTGTTTCCAACTGCCAACGTAGAAGCAGCAGCAGCAGCTGGAGAGAGGCTGGAGCCTCTCAGGGGCGTTTCTTCGAGTGTATGTTGCCCCAAGCTCGAAGGTGTCTGGCAGAAAGGGGCTGGAGAGGTGCTGGTGCTTGCCTCCAGAGTTCGAGGTGCCTGAGTGAGCGTTGCTTCACTGAGTGAATTCGAGCTTTCGCCGCCAGTTGGAGTGCTGTCGCCGAACATTTGTCGCATCTTGTCCTCGCTGGAAAGTAACCAAGAGACAAACAGAACCAATCAGTTTTGGTATATAATCATAATGACTGTGTG